GTGCGGTTTTGAACTACCGACCTTTCAAATTTCCCTTTTTAACAATAAAATAAATATGTGCGGTTATGAAGTCTGCGGTTTTGATGACCACCGGAAGAAGTTATATTACCCTTTCCAAAATATCTAATCTAAATATTAAATACATAGACATATGTACCTACATCCATTAGAATTTTTAAACCATTTTTTTCGTTTTTATTAATTAGTCTACTTTGAGAAAATGTAAATGGATGTCCACTAAATTTTAATAAAAACCTACAATGATAATTTTTATTAATTATGAACCATCAATAATAAAATATTACAAAATTTGCCACCTTAGGCAGCTGCCTACACTGCCTAATGGGAAATCCGTCTCTGTGGGCAGTGCATGCGCATAAATTATTTTGATTAGATGTTACACATAATTTCGACTGTATGTATTTAAATTTAATACGTATAATAATTATGTATCATCCTAAACGCGAGGATGTACGTTATTTATTTTTCAATAGGTCTACATTGTATTACACTTTATTACATTCGTCTGGTCTATACAAGTGCAACTTTAATTCTCCGAATAAAGCACAATTCTGAAGAAACAATGCAGTGTTCAGAAGAAGCAATTGTCCTTGATATCTTGATCTCTTGTAGATGTGTTTTACGGACTAATGCATAAAAATTAATTTACTTTTTTCGAAAATCCCTAGGACACTTTCAGAAATAAAAATGTCTTTATGAAAATGTGTGATATTTTAGTAACCAGTATAACAATTAAACCTTTACTATGTTTTTTATTCATTAATATATAGGATTACGTATATTTCACATGATATTTGGATTGGAAGCAATAATTTTCTGTCCTTGACCATCACTGACGCACAACATAAGAATTTAGACGTTTTATATTTTCAACAAACCGACCGATCGATATATTGATATAATAAGGATTTTAAAAACTCATTTGAATTCATTTGAGTCGAAAACGAATTATTTACTTTTCATTTTTTCTCCATAAATCGTAAATTAATTTAATATGTCAATTTTTAGTTTTAAATTGATTTAAGTAGAACTTACACAGATCAAATAAAAAATGTGAGAAAGTGATAAGATCGTTCACAAATGTATCTTAGAATAAAATATGTTCAAATATAAATAATTATTTCGATAGCAGTGATGACGTGAATATAAATATTTCATGAAATCTCGAGGGCAAAAATTCGGTTTGGTCTCTACTCTCCAGTGATATAAAAACATAAATAAAAATATCCATAAGATAGTTTAAAGTTGATATACCATTGTTTCAATGCAACGCCGATAACTAACTTAAGGTGTTTGACTCGAGTCTCGATCAAGGCAGTTGGAAAAAATATAACATTTTTTATTTGTATATTATTTATATAACATTGATTTTATATAGATACATCCTTGTTTAGAGTCGTTTATTTAGAATCATGAATTATATCATTGATATATAAAATATAATATTTAAAATCAATGATTTATGATAATGAAAATTGAAAAAATTAAAAAATATATAAAAACTATATGACTATAATTTTGATTTTTTTGTATCTCTTAAGGATTAGGAAAAACATGGTCCACTTATTAGCAAGGGCGCAATTTCATTGAAAAAAATAAGAATGCTAAAGTACTGTTTAATGTTCCTTAATGGTTATAGAAATCCTTAACCCATACAATTACTAAAATATTTAATAAATATTAAATAAATAATATTAATATCAATATTAATAAAAATAATATTTATAATTTAATATTACATTATTTTTATATTCATATATAATAATAATATATTTTAATATTAAATAAATTTAAATTTTATTAATTGAGAAAGACGAATGAGAAAAAGAATATTTCTAAATTTAGACTGTTTAATTGGACTTTATATTTTTACTACTAATAATATTAAACGCGGAAGTATATCGTATAATTTATTACTCGTCTACATTCAAAAATGTTTCATCACATGATCAATTTTACATTCTGAGTCAAGCAAAGGGTCTTATGGTTTTGCACTGATGTTTATTATTATTATTATTATTTTTTTTTTAGAAGCACTTTTTCGGTTAGAAATATTAGTCCAAAATTTTCATCTAGCAACTTTTTAAACTTGAAATTGGTACACCCAAGTAGTCCTCTCCAAATTGTCCTATAGTACCTTTTGTACCTATATACACGAAGAACATTTTTCAAAAACAAGACTTTTTAAAAATGCATAATTTAAGCTTAAAAAAAGAAAAATGAATCACTCTGTACAGTGTGCTTGTGTGAATGTATTGAAACGCAATTAATTGGCTCATTGTTGACAGTTGAGAGTAGATTAAGTTATTTTTTTTTTTCAATTATTTACCACATGCCATTTACGGGTCTCAATATATGAATTGAATATGTTAAGAAAACATAGCCACAAAGTAAATGTATTCTATAGAACTTAATACTGAAGTCAATCTTAATAGTGTTAATATGATGTCAAATTGTAAACTCAAACACCATTTATTTTTTTAATAGGTAAGAAATTCACCACTGAACGCGAAAACGTTCACCTTGGTCATAGAACGTATTAACTAGAGCGTGGATTTCTATGCAATCGCATATTTTTTCCCTTTCAATATTTTTGGATTTTTGTCAGTTATCTCCACGAATCATTATAATTTGAAACTAATGGTGAAATTTTTTTTTTGCATATTTCTGAATATTTAGAGGTTATTGCATATTTTTGCATATTTTGGCAAAATTCAAAATTTATTGCATATTGAAGTGAAAATTTAAAAAAAATGTATAAAATAATATTTTTTCTATTAGAAAAATTAAAAATAAATTTCATAGTCACTAAATAATAATTTATATATATATATATATTTAGTTATAAAATAAATAATCGATTACGACGTAAACTTAATCGCTCTTGCTGTGTCAGTCGATTATCGACATATCACTTACTTCAAATATGCCCCAATAACTTCGGTTGACATCGAGGATTCGTTTTCAGTCTTTAAAAATATGTTAACCGATAAACGTCACAGCTTCACAGAAGATAAACTTGAAATGCATATGATTATTTATTTTAATAATAAATAAAATTTTAAAAATAATTTAAGTTAATTAATTTAAAAATAATTTAAAAATTCCCTACATTTTTTTATATTAAGTATTTAAATAATTAATTTTTATAAGTTAAATTATAAATTTTAAATAAATAAAAAATTCTTGTATATTTTTTGCATATTTTCATAATTTTGACTGCATATTTTTTACATATTTTCATGATTTTTACTGCATATTTTTTGCATATTTTCATGATTTTTACTGCATATTATATGGCATATTTCGATACTTTTAAGTGCATACAAATCTGCGCTCTAGTAATAACTATAACCGGGCTTTAGGTGATACGATTAATAATTTAAAATGTTTAGATTTTTTTTCTTTATTGTTTTCGTAAAAACTTAATAGCAAATAATGAAATATTTTCTTTTGTATATTCGGATATTCTCATTTTAACCTTATAATATTTTTATGTAATAATTATAAGAATGATAACAAAAATTTTATTTATTTAATTTTAAGGTTTAAAAATTCATTAATTTATAATTAAGTTAAATTTTAATAAAATTAATAAAATTAGTTTTCATTAAGTATATTTTTTTGTCTTGTCTTTCATGTTATTCACAGCAGGGCACCGTGGCTAAATTGAGTCCAAAAAAAGGCATCGCGGAAAAAAAGTTTGGGAACCGCTGTCTTGGTGATGCTATCAAATATTGGTTACACATTGACTGTGTGAATTCTAAAAAAAAATTTATATTTATCAACATTCAACACTTTGAACGTTAAATACATGATACATAATAACATATTATGAAATATTGAGCATAATTTACATAATTGACTTCTAAAACACGTGTCCTTAGAATGATAAGTCCTAGTGAATTGTTCATAAGAGTTGATAAAAATACAACAATCAACGATCAGTGACTAAGTGGTATTTTGATTTTATATATATATAGATAGATTAAGATTATATTTAATTAATTTATGAAAAAACAGTAAAATGTTACATAAATTTCTCGTGAGATGTTATAGCTTTTAATTTGTTACCTCAATAAAAATTGCGGGGTAGCAATGGCTACCCCTCACTACCCCGTAATGACGCCTATACTGATGAATATTAAATTATATAGTAGACGTATGTATTATATTATTATTAGGACTCGGAACTTAATGCATTTAAAAAGTACTAAATATGCATGTACTTATGCGCTTAAAAAAGTACAAATATGTTTCAAAAATATGCACTTAATTTTTTTTAACACAAAAATGTTCAAAATAAAAATATTTTATTAAATATACTCGTACATAACAGTACAAATGTTGTTAGTATATTATACTAAGCTAAACATAATTTCTAGGTATAAATATATATGATAAAATAAAATAAAATAAATAGGTTGAAATTTGAAATTTTCTTTCAAAATGCTCCCATTAGCTTTTTCATAGTGTCATGAAAATAATTTCAAGGTTACTTAGCAATAAATTGAATAACCCAATAAAATCATGCAAATGCACACCTTCCATGATATAGGTGTTGCGAGGGTGGGACAGGGGGGCACTTGCCTTGATATTAAAATCAAAAATTAAATAAGATATAATTCTAAAAATAGTTTAGTGGGACCGAGTGATATCTACACGTGTAATCGTTTTGTCGTTTGATGTGTTATCCAATGGTCTATCTGTAAATTATTTGAATTACGAGTTTAACACTAATCATTTTATGTTTTTGCCCCTCCCTGATTCAAATTTTAGCTACGCCCATGTTCCGTGTCCTTTGATATTATGAATAATGTTATCTTAGAATATTAAATTATTACTATTAAAATCTGTAACCACACGTTCAAAAGTTGGATAAAATCAACTTCACGGTATCTTAGTATGGTTAGTGAGGTAACTTGCGATTTATTATACGGTCACAGATATGTATAATAATATGTATAATTCCATATTATCTATGATGATACAGTTGAATTTAATGATAAGACGGACAATCTGATAAAACTGATTTTAATTGAATTTGTTAATTTTGAGTGGTATATGTTAATTTACGCCAAAACGTTGAAAAATCGTCACCATTGGAAATCATTATTATTGATATGCTGGCTTTAAGTAAAGTTAAAAGTCCTTATAATATTTTATGGAATATTCCTCGAAAATTATTTCCAAAAAGTTTATCAACAGTATATCTTAATCTTAATCCCAAGTAAAGAATCACTGCGTTTGTTACATTTTTAATAATAATAATTCTTACAGACATTTTCAGTATTCAATTGTTAATTTTTCTTCAAGAAATATGGAAAAGATCAAGAACCGTTTGGCTCTAGAAAGATCGCCTTATCTTTTACAGCATGCAGAAAATCCTGTAGAATGGTTTGTAATATAATTATTTATGTAAATTCAGATGGTAATACCTATAATAAGTTTTAAATTTTATTTAGGTATCCATGGGGCGATGAAGCATTTGAAAAAGCACGCGTTGAAGATAAACTTATTTTCTTGTCAGTTGGTTATTCTACTTGTCATTGGTGCCATGTTATGGAACATGAGTCATTTGAAAATGAAGATGTTGCTGCTGTTATGAATCAATATTATATAAATATAAAAGTTGATCGTGAAGAACGACCCGATGTGGATCAGCTATACATGACTTTTGTTCAGGTATTCATATACAATATATTTTAAGTATTTTTTATGTTGTAAAACTACATTTATAAATCATCATAAATTAGTTTATTAAAATATTCTATAGTATGATTACTATTTAAATATATTTTATAAAATTTTAGTGAGTAAAATTATATCTATCTACTTATCTTATTTTACTTAAAAATTGTTTTCTCCATAATTAATTATCATTTGATTTGTTGAAATAAGTATTGAATAAAGCATTCATTCAATAATTAATCCACTGTGAATGTAACGCTTTGTTAACCAATCCTATACCTATGAATTATTTCTGAGTTTTATATATATCATCTTTATTCTTGTCTAGGCAGCAACTGGTCAGGGAGGATGGCCAATGAGTGTATTTTTAACACCTGATTTGAAGCCAATTGGTGGTGGAACTTATTATCCACCTATTGATGCATATGGACGTCCTGGGTTTAAAACTCTTCTTTTAAACATGGCCAAAAAGGTAAGTTTGTCATATGTTCTAATATCATGTTGTATATTTGTAATACTTAAATGGACGATAAATAATAAATTATTTAGTGGAAAAAAGATTCAACATCTATGTTAGAAAACAGTTCAAAGTTAATGAGAATACTTGGTGATACCACAACTTTTGATATACAACTTGGAACTGAGCTTTCTCAAATCATGAAACCTAACCCCAAAACATGGATTACTTGTTACTCACAATTGCAAAGAATTTATGATGATGATTGGGCTGGTTTTGGTATGCCTCCTAAATTTCCTCAACCATCAATTTTAGATTTTTTATTTCATGTTTCCTACAAAACACCAAACTCATCAGAGGGAAAAGAGAGTTTGAATATGGCATTAGAAACTCTACAAAAAATGGCTATGGGTGGAATACATGATCACATTGGCCAAGTTAGTAATACATTGAGTTAAAATAAAAATAAACATTACAATATGAATACTTTAGGGTTTTGCTAGGTATTCTACAGATGAAAAATGGCATGTACCACATTTTGAAAAAATGTTATATGATCAAGCACAGTTAGCTGTTTCATATACTACAGCCTACCTAATAACCAAACATAAAAAATATTCAGATATAGTTCACGATATATTGCAATACGTCTGCAGAGATTTAAGTCATAAGGTACAATCTAACATTTTTTATTATAAATATACTAAATAATTTTTATCTATTTTTTAAATTACCATAAAAATTATTTTAAAATAACATAGATTATAAAATTATAATTATTATTAATACTACTTTTTTAATTTTTCTTTTTACTACTAATGCCAATTTGTTACATCTTGTAAAATCTGTTTTGATGGTTTAAAAATTAATTTATTAATTTTAAGTTGATATTCTCAACTATTTCCTGATTGATGTTAATGGTTTTTGAACTAATGAACAAGTGTTTTTGTACCTCTAATACAATTATTATTTTTGATGATGAATAATTATACCTTTTTCTATAGCAAGGTGGATTTTATAGTGCTGAAGATGCAGATTCACTACCTACAGCTAACTCTTTTAAAAAACGCGAAGGAGCTTTTTGTACATGGACACAAGAAGAAGTAAAAACTCTATTGAACAAACCTTTACAATCAAAATCAGAAATAAAACTTTCTGATTTATTTTGTTGGCATTTTAGTGTTTTGCCTAATGGTAATGTTCGACCAGACTCGGTAAATTTACAATTATACATTTAAAAAATGAAAATGTTATTTTATATAACAATCATAATGATCATGTACATAGGATCCTCATGGAGAGTTATTAAATCAAAATGTCTTAATAGAGTTTAGAAGCAAAGAAAATACTGCTAAAAAGTTTGAAATATCAGTGGAAAATATGGAGAAAGAACTGGTAATTGCCAAGGCTATATTATTTGAAGCCCGTAAAAAAAGACCACGTCCACATTTAGACAATAAAATAATAACTTCATGGAATGGTAAGATCTATTAATCTATTTTTATTTATAAAATTATTTCTCACAATAGAAATTATTCAGATTGTGCACTGTTTAATTATTTTTAATAAAAACTCATTGGAACAGGTACTAAGTTTTGAACTTAAGTAATTTGTAAATAATCTTTCAAGCTTGTTTAATTTGTCTTGTGGCAAGCTTTGTTTATATTTAATACATTTTAATGTAATTGACTGTTTCTAGTAGGATGTATTTACATTTATTAATACATAAATTATTTTTTTAATTATTAAGAAAAAAATAAAAGAAACCTACTATACAACCAATAAGTATATCAGTTATATTTTGTTTCGTAGGATTAATGATTACAGCATATGCAAAAGCTGCATCTGCACTAAATGTCGAAGAATATAAACAAAGAGCTATTCAGGCAGCTGAATTTCTTGAAACCTATGCATGGGACTCTAACACTAATGTACTGTTGCGGTCATGTTATGTAAACGAGAATGGGGATATTGCTGATATGTAAATAATTTTTTATGGAATTTTATACATAAATATTTTAATGTATTATTTTTTTTAGAAAAAAACCAATCAAGGGTTTCCTTAATGATTATGCTTTCCTCATCCGAGGTCTTTTGGATTTATACGAGTGCACACTTCAATCAAAATGGTTACTATGGGCAGATAAACTACAAGAACAACAAGATAAATTGTTTTGGGACACAGAAAAATTTGGGTACTATTCTTCTTCCGACGAAGATCCCAGTATTATATTGCGTTTCAAAAATGGTAAGAAATTGTTTCTAGGCAAAACCTACTTGAGATTTATTTATAAATAATATTTTCAGATCATGATGGAGCTGAACCTTCAGGCAATTCTATATCTGCATTAAATCTATTAAGGTTATCAATATTAACCGAAAAATCAGAATATAGTTCTAAAATAGATTCTCTATTTTTGATATTTGCTGGACGTTTATCTAATAATTCAAGTACATTACCAACATTAGTATCAGCACTTACTTTACATTGTGATTCAATGATTTCAGTAATTACTTATTTTAATAATTTTAGAGCAATTTTAAATCATGATTTTATTTTTAGGTATACGTAACTGGTGAATCGGATGATCCAGAATTTAAAGCATTATTATCTGTTATCAGAAATCGCTATAGGCCAGATCTTGTATTAGCCCTCGCTGAAACAAACTCTTTATCAGATCTAGCTCGAGGTCTAGCACAATCAGAAAATGGAAAAGCAGCAGCCTATGTATGCAAAAATAATTCATGCAATTTACCCGTGTACAATCCAAATGAGTTAACTGCATTATTAGATGAAAAAGCTTAATATTTTAGCAAATAAAATATTTCAAATTTAAAATATTATTTATTAAAATAAAATATATATTAAAAATGTGTTTTATTTGGCTATATGTATATTTTTTTCTTTTAATTAAATAAATTTTAATAAAATGTTTACATGTAACCAACTGTTGTCTAATAAATAGCCAGTACAAAAGTAGTTATGGAATATCTAAAAAAAAAGTATCACCAATTGTTTCATAAATCAACCATTTAATTCATGTAAAAACAATATATATATATATATATATATACATTTAAAATAAGTATAGTAAGTGTAATTTTTGTACTGTAATTGCATTCATTTTTAATATTTTGTTACAAAGCAACAGTCAAATATTGACCTTTTTTTATTCCATAGTGAATAATTCCATCTTTTAGAAAAGCCCAAGCCATTTTTGAAGAAGAAAAACCAATGCCAACCTCTCCTTTTTTTGAGATAACAATAGCTCCAGCACTGCCACCTACACGAGCTGACATAGAATCACAACCTTTTTGGGCTGCAATTTCTGGAACTTCACCTATATCACATCATTGTTAGAAATTAAATAATTTCAAATCAAACACAATAACAGTATTTTCTCTTAAATACCATTTTCCATACGATTCATTATTTTTTGAGCCAAACAGTATCTCATTATACTGTCACCATGACCAGTAGTTGAAATAGTACCAATATTATTATCACAGTAGCCACCAGCACCGGGAACAGGTGTATCACCAACTCTACCAGCCATTTTACCAGTTATTCCTCCTGTGGACGTACAAGATACCATATGTCCATTTGTGTCCATACCAATTGCACCAACAGTCCCAACTCCTCTAAAAAAAAATGAAACAACCATCTCCTATAAGAGTACACTATTTTAATAACATACATTTTAGATATTACTGTCCAATTTCAGTTGTGACAGGTTGACCTCCTGATTTCAAAAAATTATTTAAAGCTGTTTTTGCATGTATGGTCATCAAATAATCATCACTAACAGTTTCAAATCCCATTTTTGAAGCAAACTCATTAGCACTTGAACCCATTAGGAACACATGAGGTGTATTTTCCATTACTTTTCTGGCTAATGCAATTGGATGTGCAATATTCTTGACACCAGTTACACTACCTGTATACAGAAACGAGGGATGAAAATATTTACTACTAACAACGTAACATATTTTTGTACATAAAAAAATTCCCTACCAGCTTTCATATCTTTGCCTTCCATAATAAGTGCTTCCATTTCGATTTCACCCTTGAGATTCAACACCGATCCACGACCCGCGTTGAAAGCTTCATCGTCTTCCATACACTCGACAGCAGCCTGACAAGCATCCGTTATGGATGACGTATTTTTATAGACGGTATGAGCCTTTCTGATTGCAGCTAGTATACCATTAAACTTTGGTTGGTCTCGACTGTCAGGTATATCTCCAGCTCCACCATGCACAACGATAACTGGTTCGTTCATTATTTTTTAACGCGAGACAATAATTTTACAAGTTACAGAAATTTAATAACAGCATAAACACTTCGTACCGATGGTAGACCGAATTTACACGATATCGTATGTATTAAAAATACAAAAATATTTATTTACAAAATAAATCGTATAAAACAATACATCTGACACATTAATAATATACTAGAATGGTACTAACAATTGAATTACGAACCAAATAGATATATAGATTTATCAACTATGCACGCCGTAGTAAGATGATGTTATCACTGGCGCATACCGGACGTAGTTCAGTAAAAGAACAGTTTAACGTCGGCCTATCTATAAAAATGGTTATTATTTTAAGTACCACAGAACATTTCAGTTCATACAACAACCGCAGTTCAAATTCATAGATGTACGTTTCAAGTACATATTCCTTTAGAATGCATTGGTATTAATTGAGCTAGTATCAATTATAATTAATTAACAATTATTCATGTTTATAATTGTTATTGTAATTTTGTACTTTTTGAGCGAACCTTTGGCGTTTCTGCCCAGGGACATATTTTAGGGGCCGAGAGGCGATTGCCAACCCCCTTAATCCGCATTTAAGAAATCGATTATACGAGTATGTGAGATACACATTACAAATTTTTTTAATGTGGATCATTTTATATCGAAATCAAATTACAAGTGGCTGTAAATACTGAATTGAGCATTTTGTCGGGCCCTTAGTAAAAAATCAAATAAAACACAAGCGTAATTTTTAAAACACAGACATGTGTTAAAAATAGAGCTTAAGATGGCAAAAAAAGCCAAGGGAGACTCCATTCACTACCATAGGCGTGACTAGACTTCATCCACAGTGGCAGTCTAGCTAATGACCAGCGCTATGTTAATGAATCAAAAAAAGGCACTTTACATCCAATACAGTAATTTTTTTGGAAAGGGGAGAGGAGGGGTTGCAATTGTTTAACATTTTAAAATGAACCATAATTATTAACAATATTTTAAAAAATTTTCCGGTATACGTAGTGAATTAATTAATGACGTAAATGCCTAGCCAATATTATAAATTCCTAACATTAGTAGTCGATATTGCCAATGCCTATGCATTAACAGACAATATAGGCAAGATTGTAAAATTAAAATATTTTGTAAACACATTTAGAACTATGACTAGAAACTTACCTTAATGTCTAATACTGATAGGCAATATTGATAATTATGTTTAACGAAATATTAATAAAAATATTAATATAAGACGAAATCGATTGGGACCATGATATTTTTCCGTGTTAACGTAAACCCACGTAAATAATATTATTTTATTGCGATAGCCGATACAGATCATATAATATGAACATGAGATATTACAATACAACACTATGTTATTAGTTATAAATTTTTACTGTTATTAGTAAATAAAGAAAACTTTTTATAAATAAAATTTGTAAAAACTATATAAAATTTTTTAAAACTCGGTTGACCGGCACCTTGGGAAAATTGCAGGGGCAGCCCAGGCATCCTAGGCTACTACCGTAGACATGCCTATGATCACTACATAATTTTAAGCGTTCCATATAGTCTTATAAAAAAATCCTAGGTATTATTCATAGATTATACGAAAATAGTCTTGCTTCTGTATTAGGATTTGAAAAAAAAGAATATAATAATTTAGAGTATGGAGTTTATCGATCATAGAAACCTGTTAATATAAATTAAGTGAATTCTATAAAAGTAATGTGCAATATAGCTCAGGGTTCATTTAACAATAATTAACCATCTCATTCAATTTATGAATTTTTCCCTGATGGAAGAACTGGATCAAAGATAATTGAAGCACCGACAAACCTTATCTATAACAGATTAAATACTACAACCATTCATTCAATTCAAATTAAATTAGTTGTAACATTTACCAAGATGATATCGATGAACACTTTGGAAATGAACTTATTAAATTTAAAGAATTTTATAAACATTTTAAAGATGAAAGCATTTTCACAATATTAGTCGACAACATTTAATGTATAAAATATTAATTGATAAGAAAATAAAAGATAGTTTTCCTAATGTTAAAATAGTTCTTCGTATTTATCTTGTTTTTATGATTACAAACAGTAGTAGTGAAATATCTTCTCTAATTTAAAGCACATAAAAAAAATAGATCGCGAACTTCTATGGACGGAGATAATGAGCTCTAAGTCTGATATTTTAAGAAAACTTGATTTTCAAAACGTTATTGATAAGTTTGTATAAATTAAATTAAGAAAAGTTCCAGGCATTTAATTTTAATTACTTGACATTTTTATTTTTATTATTTTTTATTTAATCACTTACACCTAATGTTATGATGATATTACTCATACTAGTTATACTTAATTTTATTGTTTTTATAATTATTTATTATTGAATAAGGTTATTAGTAAATAAGTTAATTTTTACTACTACTAAATATGATTATAAATTTTATTTAATAAGTAAAAAAATATATTTTCTTGTTTATGTGTAAGGGACCACCACATACCTAAATACGTCCCTGCTATAAAACACTGTTTTTTTTTATTATGTTTGTAAATCTTTTTGTCTATGCCGGTGATGATATCGACCGGTAACAATAAAAGTGATAATTTTTACGTCACCTTATCTTTAATGCTGTTCTAGTCAAGTATACGTTGAACGCATGAACGAAAAACTTAACAAATAATTGATAATTTTAATTTTGCAAACTTTTAAAGTAATGAGAAAATGAATCAGACGATTCGGTGTGAAGTACTTACATGTATAGTTACAACAGTTGTTACGTGAAAAGTAATTTTCGGAAAAGACGGTTTTCATTCGACTATAGTTCAGAAGATCTAGATACAGTTTGGAATGTTAAAATTCTAGGGACCGAAAAAATACTGCTAAACAACGTGAAATAGTGATATGGGCTCGTGGAAAACGTTGAGGAATAACCGAAAATTCCAAAGACTATTTATATCCTAACCGTCATCGATGACTTACGAGTATATTATAAAAGGTTCACTTCTACCCAGGAGCAGACTAAGGCTCTGAAGGTCCGTATGGATAAAAGTTAGTTTATGATATAACTAACCTAATCTAACTTAAGACCCAAACATACATTTTTTGGAGGGCTGGATGACCACCTACCCACTCTGATATTTTGTCACTTTTTACTTACAGTAAGTATAGTAGAGAAACCTCTACCGAAAAATAAAAATATTCGCTACGAATTACATTTGTAAATATTGATTGACACTTTATTCGAATATTTTGAACAGTACAATTTTTTTTAGTTACCTCCGTTTATATTCATATAACGCATCGATTATTGAAACATGGTTTTGCTCTCGGCAAAAGTATAAACACATCAGCCACCATTCTTAGGTTATTTCATTAGCTATAACTAGAGCTGGGATTTAAATACAAATTTTTTTTTTCTGGTATCCCGACACATAGGTCCGTAGGCGAAAATGTGTTTCAAATGATACTGATTAATTTAATGTAAATTTTATTCTGCGTTTTTTTTGGTTTTTTAACAAATATAACTAAAAATGCATTTATACGACATATTTTGCTGTTTTTAGGAAATTTTTCAGAATTTATATATAAATTCTTAAATATTAGGATATTTGATCATGCGTTACGGTGTCTGTTCGCTTGAGACTTGCGCGTTTAGTATGTTATCTACTAAATTGGTAAACTAATAAATACGAGCATATAGGCCCGTGTACCTATTTCTTCAAAAGTACGAGTATAACAAAATTAAAATAGCCGGAAGAAATTTTTCTAATGAAAAGAGTCCAACAACAATTATAACAGCAACTTATGAAATAAAGTAAATTAAAACTAAATTAAATAAAATATAAATATTAAACAAATCGGTATTTATTATTATTATGTTAAATAAATACAATTAAATATGTTGGGAAACATGATTTTTATAATATAATTTTTAAATTATAATAATTACATTTTTTAACACATTTCAAGAGTGCATTTTTTATGATTTTTAAAGCATTTTTTTGCTATTTTTTAGAGCATTGAAATTCCAGCCCTAGCTATAATCGCATAACTATAATTAACTATTAAATTGTTCAATTTTTAAATGTTCAATACATAAAAATGTTACATACTTTAACTTATTTCACAAAATTGCTATTTACTATATATACTACATTATATAACATTGTTGTTTTTTTTAATGGACCCCTACTATGAAAAATATTAAAAATATTATAAAAAAAAAAAAAAAAAGAAATAGAAACAAAATAACATTTATTGAGATATTTCTGTCGCTGTGACAGGCTAGGTCACTCTTCATAATTAAGGAATACAAATTTCATATAAATTATATTATTTCTTGACCAAGTTTTCCTAAAACTGTTATCCATCGATTACTATGCAGAATTTGTCATCTCGCTACAGTAAATGTATACAGGCAGGCAGTGGTGCCCATAGGTTTTTCATGAACTAGTGCAGTTATAATGATAGAGCTTCCAAATTTATTTTGGTCTTCATCCATACGGCCATGTTCATTTGATCGAAATAATTTTTTGAATGAAATTATTTAGTTTTTCTAATTATTAGATCTAACCCAGATTTTTTTCAACTATTAATAAATATTGTTTACGTTTTATTTTTTAGAAAATCCCTCGGAAAACTTATGTACAATAAGGAAAAATGTGTCGAAAATTAAAGTTAAATTTTTTTTATGATATAAAGATTTATTTATTTTTTTGATTTTTTTAATTAAAAAATTATAAAATGGACTACATTGATTTGTTTTGTTATTTTTTATAATCTTTAATTATATATTCAGCATAGTTAAAAAATATGTGTACTACTTTATCAAGCTAATGTACTCGTAAAAAGAAAATTTCGAAATTTTTGCTAATTATTTCCTGTTTTAAGTATTTTTTATTTTTTATTAAATATTTTTGTTCAAATTTATGTTTTTTAAATGTTTATTTAGTGCTTATAATTATATTTTAAACTGTTTTTTAAGCATTTATTTTAATGATTTTAAATACTTTAAGTCCCGAGCCCTGGTTATTAAACATTTATATTTGTTTGCATATTTGACACTGCCAACTCTTTACATTTTATTCAACGATCTAAATATTCAGATGAATATTTATACATTTATAGGGTTTGCTTCAAAGACCAGAGTAGGGCCCTCAAATGTAAGTTAGCCCCAGGACCTACGAGAAATCAGTGCAATCGCACCACTTGGTACCCTTAGTGGGCGTCACTGCAGGCAGGTACCTATGACAATATTTCCGAATCATTTGGTCCTGAATTATTATTTCACCGACTATAACAATAATTAAGTTAGGAAAAACTGTATTATCTTACGGACACATACGAAGGTGGAAGGTCTTATTCATTTACGGATTAGATTTTGGTTGAAAAGTCTGCGTAATAAGATTATCAACATTGCTTGAATTGCAAAAATTAAAGGTAATAAGCGTTGTCAGTGAATATAAAATAATGCTCAAAGTACTCTCGACGAAAATATACGTGGGGCCATGCCCCAACAGTCGGAGTATGTTACGGCCCTCTCTCCCCTTCGATTCCTTTTTGATGTACAACGTCCGGTGCGGTCCGATCTCCCGCATGGCTGTTCTATTAATATCAACTATTAATATTAATAGAACTATATAGTGGTGATACAACAAACTATGTATGATGAGCGCACGCTTCTGCAACTGCACAACCATAAATAAGTATATAATATGTGTACTTAATAATATGTATATATAATAAGTTTATAACGCACAATCGACTGGTCTTTGGACCTTCACTGCGCAGACGTAAACTAATAATTACGGACCTTTGGCTCGGGCGCGGGAGCAGCTGATCGACTTGTTTACGTCGTCATTATTTTTGGAGGACGAATGTTCAACAGGTGTACTTACCGATTGCTGATAACACTTACTGATAACGGTCGGTTTTCACTTCCTGGTTGCAACAGCATGGAATTCAAAAGGCTAACGTAAGAGACGATGTGCTCCAAAAACGACGTAATTCTGCCACTGTCGTCAGTTCTCCCGACGACGTGACCTAAGAACGAATTCCGAACAATGGCCGCTACGACGAATAAACTACGAGCCCTGATCATGGGTGCCCCGGGCTCGGGCAAAGGTACGGTATCTGAACGCATAGTGCGTGCGTTCGACATACTTCACGTATCAAGCGGCGATATTTTGAGGAAAATGATACGAGAGAAAACCGATATCGGTGTCCAGGTGAAAAAGTAAGGGTTTATTATACTCGTCAGCTCGCAACTGATTCCTATAATCACATGTTTGTATAACCTGTTGCTCAGATTCGTCTCTAGCGGGCAACTCGTGCCGGACGAGCTCTTGTTAAAGGCCATCGACTCCGAGTTAAAACGCTTGTCGTCGGCCGACCGCAGTTGGCTACTAGATGGATTTCCCAGGACTAAAGCACAAGCTTTGAGCCTGTTTAATGTGGCACCTGTCCAAGTAGTCATCAGTCTTGATGTACCTTTTGAGGTCATCATAAACCGAGTAAAAGGTCAGAATAAACGTTTTAAAAAAAATAATTATGGTATTTGTCTCTGCAGATATATATTACTTTATTGTTCAATAACAGGTAGATGGATACATGCACCAAGTGGACGGGTATACAACAACGATTTCAATGCCCCTAAGGTACCAGGTCATGATGACATTACTGGCGAACCACTTGTGCAACGTGAAGATGACAAGCCAGAATCTGTACAAAAACGATTAAAAATATATTCAGAGATGGCCGGTCCTATATTAAACTACTACGCCAAGCAAAACGTTTTGGTGCAATTTTCAGGAAAGACCACCAACGAGATTTGGCCTCAGGTCTACAAATACTTGGCCACTAAAATTGAACCCAAGGAAAAACTCTAATAAAACTGTATTGTAATAAATTGCTAATGAAAAAAATACCGTTTACACTATTATATAACTATATTGTTCAAAGCTATTTATATATTTAAGCATAAAAAAATGTACATTATGTTTTATTCTTGTTGAAAATTTCATAAAAAATATATTGACATATTATGGTTTATTATTTATATATTATGGTTCTTTTACATAAATGTTTTCAATTGTAACCAATAAGTTTTTACCAATTAAAGATTAATAATTAGTTAGTTGAATATTTAAAATTTTTAAGAATAATTCTTGAACATGATTACACTTCATAATCAAAACATTAATATTTATAATGGGTAATATGATAAAAAAAAAACTCAAATTGAACTTGTATTAGACTATAAACACTCATTTGCAGCAATGTACATATTTTGAAGAAGTGAAAATATGAAATTAATTTAACAAATATCAAGTTACAAAAGTACTCAAGAATTAATTAAATATCCAAGACAATAGTACTTAATCCTATATATGATTATTTAAAACTTAAGCTATTAAAATACATTATTCATTTTAATGTGAAAATTGACTATACCCAAAATCTAATAGGTTAACTATTTTATAGTTACATCACTATATTGTATTAAAATATAATTTACAAACATATGTGGTAAAAAAAAAATAACAATTTGTATATTATTCAAAAAGTTTAGTTAGATTAATTTTGTATGATTTTGTAACATTTGGAATAGTTACAATTTCTTCAATTAGTAACTGACCTTTAACCATAGTAGGATATTAATTTAACTTGAACAATATTGTACAATGATGATGTTAATAATATGAGAATTTCTAAAAAAACAATCAGAATCATACAGGTAAATAATTAATGGGAAATCGTTAAGAGTTGTCATCACACTTATGTTGATAGCCACAATAATTTTAATGGTCACAACAATTTTTCATTCAAAATTATTTCGTAAAAGTATCAAGAAGCAGATTTGTTTATTAATTAATTCAATAACGAGTAGCAAAATATTAATTTACAAAATCACTAGACATTTTTAATTTTTTTAATTTTTTTGTTTGATATAACTAATGATTTTCTTTTAACAGGTGTTTTACCAATAGGAGTCTTCGGACTGTCTCTATCATCCAAGTTGTTTTCTTCATTACTAAATTAAAGACAACATTATAACATTAACAGTTATAAACTAATTTAACCATTAATACTAAGCTCATAATTTGTTCAACTTATTAATGTGTAATATTATTCCATTTTTATTCATTACTTTGTTTTGACAGTGTTAATTTTCTGAACAGCATGTCGCAGTTTATTCCAATTTTTACGACCGGCTTGATTGAATCTGCTAGTAGAGGCTTCTAAAATCTCTATGAGCCGAACCCAATCACAATTATGACGAGAGAATTTATTATAACAAATTATGCATAGAATATTTAATAACTCATTTATGTAGCGTTGTCGTCCAGATACATCTGGTTGGCTGTTGTCTAATGAAGAAAAGAACTAAAACACACATAATTTACATAAGTAAATCATTTAACTACATTAAAATAACGAGAAAAAAAACAAATTATTACTTGTATAACATAATCTGACAAACTCTTTTCAATTTTGTCAAGTGTATTATCATCCTTTAATTGTTCCAAGAGTCTTGTATTCTGATAAAATGATACTAACATACATACAGCTTGTGATCGTCTAAACCATCTTACAGAATCATTAAAGGCATACGGCAAAATATTCTCAATTACATGCATGTTTTGTTTCCATGATACTTTTGACAGTAAAGACTCAAATAAAGATACAGGTAACAAACAGTCTCTATTTAACAAAAATGATAAGTAATAAAATCATTTATTTTAATTAATAGCATTTTAGTAAAAAATTACCGTTTGGTGAAAAAATCTTTAAGTGATTCTTCTATAATGTTGATCACTTTAGATGATTTTTCTTTCTTTAATTGCATGAAAGAAATTATATTAACATATACTTTTACAAGGAATGTACAACATTGTGTAATATGGGTACTTATATCCAAAAACACAGGTGTTGCTGAAAAGAAAAAAAAAATGTAATTCTCCAACGTTATTTATTTGTTTTATATGTATTTTATGTACTTACTTCGCACACCTTTATTCATTAAAACTTTTAAAACTGTTGCAATTAATTCATCATCAACAGTTTTTGTATCGTAAACTTTTTTCATTTGACTGATTTTTTTTAAAGCCGATCGAACTCTAGTCTCTAAGGGTTGCTGTTGAATATCCTTGATGCAATATTCCAATAATGAAAACAAAGTAGGAATAGTATCCATAACAAGACAAAGAGATGGTTTATTATCCAAATATATATCCACTAAATCCATAACCCTATAAATTTGAATGTTTGAAATAAAATTAATTTAATATTTAAAATAAATTATGATTGTATACCTTAATCTGAAATTAATCTTTTCTTTAATATGTTTAGAATTCTTGTTTGAATTCTTTTTATAGTTTTTAAATGCTTCAGATAATAAATCGTCCATTACTTTCCCTTCTTCCTCAGTCATATCATCAATATCAACAGACTCCTAAAAAAAAAAAAAACCAAAAAAATAATTTGATATTTATTTTAATTAAAGGTTAACAAATAATAAATATAATTACATCATCTGAATGTTGATTAGCAGACATCATGGCTTTATGTAAAGCCAATTTTAATTGTTCAGTATTATCTTGATCTTCATCACTAGATTGTTCATCAATTTCTGAACCATCAGTTTCTTCATCATCTTCATTATCCAAACCATGACCACTAATTCCATTGCCATTAACTTTTGATTCAGCATCACTATTTTCTTCTTCATCTTCATTATTATTTTCTGATTCTGAATCTTCATCACTATCATCAAATGAATTTGATGCAGTATCATACTCAGGATTTAAAACCTAAGTTAAAAATTAAATATTTGAGTTGTTAAAAAACATATACAATGAAGAAGAACATACTTGTAAAATTTGATGAGATGCTTGAGGTGTCAATTCAAGACATAAATGTGAAAATATACGAGATATTAACTGTCTCAATAAATAAGATTCTCTAGCTAACAATGACAACATTATTTCTACAACGACTTCAATCCATTTAAGTTCTTCATTATTTTCATTTTCTTGATTATCATTTTTATGATGTTCATAACAATTTTGTAATTCCTTAAAATATTAAAAATGAGTAACTAAGTCAACTACTTATAAATTTCAAGTTGTATCTTACTTCTAGAGCATCAATAGCCACTGATGGTTCAACAAAGATATAAAGCCCAAGTTGCAAGAATAATGTATGAAAAACAAAAAGAATAGATTGTTCTTTAGATTTAGCTTTACATTTTTTTAATTTCTCTTCAATTTCCTTAGTGGTTTTTATCATTTTTTCCCAACAACTCATATCCTGTAACATTTTAAAATATAAATTATTTTATTTATTAAACATTTTTTTTTTTAATAAATACATCTTTTGATGATTTAAATCGAAGTTGACGATTGCCATTTAATAATTCATCTGTATGATGGACAAGAGTTGATAAAGTTATTCTAAATGTTTCCATATTTGGTTGTTTATGACTCAGTGCTTTCAAAAATGAATCTTTTATAATAGCTGAAAACATATATCATAGTATATATTAATTTATTATATGAATTAAAAACAATTATAATTTATAATAGTAATCAATAGTGTTAACTATAAATTTCACCTGATAACTCATGACTTATATAATATTTTTCACTAGCATTTATAAAAAAAGCATTTTCCAACATGAACTTCATTTGTTCTATTTTCCACATAATATTAGCGTTAACTTGAAGACCTAAAAGTCTATAAATATAAAAGAATATATGAAGTCAAAATTTAAAAGATAAATAATTGTGTTTTTAATGGCACATACCTAGCAAGAAGTTGAGCTGCATAGCCACGATCTTGAATTTTCCAAAAATGCATCTTTTCATTGTTTTTCTTTTTTTTCATTAATATGACTTGATGACATTGTTTAGCCAAAAGCTTAATATGATCTTCATCCATTTTAATCAAACAATTCTGGATAATCTTTATACCTAGAAAATTCAAATTATTATATAAACATTTTAATTGTTAATATATTAAAAAATAACTAAAAACAATATGTACCTGTTATTTTTTCTACCATCATATCTCCAGGTGGTAAAATAAATTTCAATAACACTTTATATGCAATACTGGCTGTAGCTGATGAGTTTATTCGATCTATTACAGATGATATACTTAAACGAGCATAATACACTAGTTTTTCAGAATTAGGACGAGAAAATGATGACAGAATCGCATCCACAAACCACTTAGATAGCAACAAGTGGATACTATCGAAAGAAATATTTTTCACTAAGCATGCAAACGTTTTCATTGCTCCCATTAGATGCAAGCGATTGTGTCTACCAACATAAAAGTGTTGTTTAACGATGGACCAAAATGTTGAAATGAGTGCATCACTATTGCTTGAAGATGTTAAAGCAATAGCAAAAGTTTCATAGACTGGATGTTCAAGGTAATCATAAGAAGAAGCATGCTAAACATATACCAAAAAAAAAAAAAAAACAATAAATTAAAATACACCAATGAATTTTTATAAATAAAACTTACAAAAACTAATATTTTAGCAATATCATTCATTGATTCATTACATAAAAGTTCAGTACTATTTTCCATAACTCTCGGAATAAATTCACTATTAATTAATTGTGGGTAACGAATATGTACTTGTATTATACAATATAATGAATCTTTTGTGATAGGAATTCCAATGTATTCTTTTAAATAAGGCCAAATGACTTCCGTAAATAAAACATTGTTTGACTAAAATATAAAAAAAATGTTTTGACATACTTAAATACATGAAATTAACATATAAATGTTTAATATACAGTAAATAAACCACTTACTGAATCAATTCCTTCAGTAAAGACCTTGAAAGTCAACAAAGGTAAATAAGATCTTGTTTTCATATTATTACAAAGTTCAGCAACAATAGCTTTTTGGGTATCTATTGATCCAGCACTAAACACTCCACTACGAATCATAGCAGTATAACATAATACTTTACCAGATAAAATATCGCCTTCTTCCTGTAAAATTTAATTTCTCATCATAACTTGCAACAATAAAATGTACTTTAATCAATAAAGGAAAAAAGCATTGTTAATATCAAATTGTTGATATCTTTAATTTTTATATTAATTCCTAATGAATACTTTGGCATATTAAGCAATAACCTAAAAGTAATTTCAGTACTGTACTTACAGCTTTTGAGTCAAATTTAGTCAATTCCTTATCAACAATATTCTTGAAGCTGTCTAAATCAAACCAAGGTTTGTCTGTTAATTGCCTAACAATCACTACCAAAAGGGAAAAGTATACAGAACGGACTCGTGTCTTTGAAGATCCTAACCCGCGTACCAATCTTGTTAACACATAGTACACTTCTTTCTGTTGTAGTTCATTCAACTGAAAAGCAACGGAACACTACGGTAAATTGATATAATTAACAATCGTGGTGGAACTTACCGATTCGTTGCCAAATAGATGTAAAAATTTCACTAATTGCATACATAGTTTTGATTGAGCGTTTTGCGGCGCTTTGATGACTTTCCCAAAGAAATCCAAAACCGATTTACTAGCCATTGTGGATACGATTCAAAAACTGTTCAAAACGATCTCATTCCCGGTTAAATAAGTCGAGTTAAACAAATTGCAAAAGAATAATTTACGTGTGACAGTTCAAATTTCGCACATTAGGTCGGACCGGAGTTGAATGAAAACACGTGATAATCGTTTGTTTATTAGCACTGATGTTAGTAACGAATGTGTTTCGATCCGCGGTGGTAAGTTAGAAGGAACTGGTGCATTTAAACCATAGATAATAGAAGAATCTTCTATTATCTATGGTTTTACAGGTAGAGACATGATATCGAAAGAAAAGTATCGATACTTTCACTTGGTAACGAATGGAATGAAAATAACGAAACGTAACGACCGGTATGAGTATCGAAAAAAAAATATTGATCCTTTTACTTAGTCCTATCATCTTAACAAATATAATTAAAATATTGATAACAATAAAATATGAAAACGACCTTTATGAATATGTATCAAATGAAAAATTATTTTTATATTTTAAAGTTTTCTTTCTCCAAGTTAAGAATGAATTCAAAATGTTAGTATATCTTAAAATATGCAATTTTACTAATATTTAACTAAAACTAGTTATGGTTCATGAATCACAGATAAAAATGCTGTATGTAAACAAATTTTTAATTGTTTCCGCCAGGTACCTATATCATTATTTGTAATTTATATTTCATCTAATCGGTATATAAATCAGTAAATCTAAACATATTGTATATTTTGTGCAATACTTTTTACTATTTCCATGGCTAAAAATGAACTTAGTATACATAATTTATGATAAAAAGGTTTATTATAAACCTATTGACACTATTGTATTGTAGACTGAAGTTTCTGGTTCATGGAAATAACAAATACAGTCGTATAAAGTATAGACTTTAGTATGATGACCAAATTTTATAAACAAATTCTCTACCATGCGCGCAAATAATTTTTCTAGAAAAGAATTATTCTTTGATACCATTCGACCATTCGAGTACTTTTGATTTTTGAACCATTATGGCGGTTAATAAATGATTTAATGCAATACATTCGATACCAGTATTTTTTTATCGATACAAGTAAAGTATTGATAGATACAAAAAGTACTTGTATCGAAAGAAATGTATTGATACTTTTTTAGTATCAGTAGTATTGCAACATCCATAATCACGAGGGCTCTTCTGTAAATTGTTGTCTTTTCATGAACACTGATAGTATGTTTTTGTTGCTGTGATGTTTCAAACACCGTTTAAATTAGTTTCCTTGTCAATCAATCTTGTTGTCCAACAATGTTTTATAGCGGCCCTTCTATAGGTCAGTGACTAAGTGTACCTTTTGGCCAAAAGAAGAGGAACAATGCCGAAACGTCACACATGGTATGGCAGAACTTGCATCTTATTCCTTCTACACCCGATTATTACATTTTTTATTTACTTAAACCACTAAAATGTCAAATCTTCAACATAGTGGCAACTTGAGGTAATTTATGTAAATATTAAACTTTATCTTCCATTCAAAATAAGAAAATAAATATATATATTTTTTATAACTTCCAAGGTAAAAAATTCCATTAAACTATTTTATATTCACCTTTCATCATATACAACAATTATTGTTCAATAATCTTTTTCAGAAATGCTCCTGCGAAGAGTGTCCTTGATGTGGTGATATATATATTGGCAAATAGTGGTGTATCAAGTCGACTGAGTGATCCAGTAATAGCTAAAAATTTCTCATTATAGATTGATATTAATGGTATTAAAGATGACATTAAAGAATTTTTCAGGTCTGAATGCTATAAAAATTTGTAAAAGTAAATATTTCCTTTTAATAAAACTATTAAATAACTTATTACTTTTCATAAAACATTAATTATTCAAATAAACATTTAAACTTGATTAATAAAAAGTCAGAAATAAAGCAAAAATTTAAATATTTTTTTATATTTCTATAATATTTTAATAAGTTATAAAACAATCATATTTATACCATTAAAAATGAAAAAGTGATCTCCGACTTCCGGAGGAATTTTGATTTAGGTAAATGAAAAAAAAAATCTCAGTTTTGAAAAGAACCATAAAGAAAATTGAATTATAATAATATTAATTGGTTATTAAAGGAGAGTAATTATATAAAGAAAATATATAGTTAATATAATTTATTTAAAATTTTTAAATTATTTTAAGTAAATTACAAAATTATCATGTATATACCATTGAAAATGTAAAGTGGAAAATGAAAAAAGGTTACTTAGCTCCTGAAACAATTTTGATTTTGATAGATGATAAAAATATCCAAGTTCTGAAAAGAAACATATCAGATTTATTAAGATTATTTATATAAATTAAATGAATTTGATTTTTATACCATTAAATATTTAATGTATAAAATTCAAAAAAAAATAAATTTAAGTGATTACTTAGATCTTGAAGGACACTTTCTAAAGGTTGAATCAAAAAAAAAAAAAAAAAAAATCCAAGTTCTGAAAAAAAATATAAAATGAAAGCAATTTAAATTTGAATATTTTGAAACAAAATTAAATAAATCAATTTAAATTGATGGCAACTTGGCTTCCGAAGAATCCTTGGTTTAACAAAAAAAAAAATCCAATTTCTGTAAATAAAAATAAAAATCAATACAATTGAACACAACTTAATAAATAATTGAAAAAAAAACCAAAAAATACCTTTCATAAAAATAGATAAATATATTGAATATCATATATAGAAGAATCCATCAAATTAATATCTAAAGCAAATAAAAAGGAAGGCAGAAAAAAAGGCAAGGAATAAAACATTCTTAAAACTTATAAATTATATTTCTATTTAGTAGCAAAAATTGATAACAAATATATATCACCTTAAAAAAACAATCCATCAAACAAATACCTAATGCAAATCACAAACAAAAACTGACCATTATCAAAAAGCATAAATGACACGATATGAAAGGCAATACATAAAACAAATACCTATTTAAAATCATCAAGTAAAAAACACAAAAAACAAAAAACAGACCTACATCAAAAAAATAAAACAGTTCCCTAATTCGAACAAAAAAAGTTAAACAGCTGATCATTCCTAACAATAGACAACCAAACAAGAGCTCAGGACCCCGGGTTCGCTAAGACCCGTCAACACGTAAGAACGTGTTCCCCTGGGGGATAACAAATACCTATAAAATCGACAAAAAAAGGCAGAACAAGACAGACCAACATAACAGTGAAAACAGTTCCCTAATTCGAACAAAAAAAGTTGAACAGCTGATCGTTCCTAACAATAGACAATCAAACAAGAGCTCGGGACCCCGGGTTCGCTAAGACCCGTAAACACGTAAGAACGTGTTCCCCTGGGGGATAACAAATAGCTATAAAATCGACAAAAAAAGGCAGAAGAAAAAAATCAGACCAACATCAAACAGTTAAAGAAATTCCCTAATTCAAAACCAATGGTGACGAAAAGCTATTCAACACTACCTAAAAACAACCAAAAAGAAGTAAGAATTTCCAATCATTAAAATACACCTAAAATATATATATATATATCTCCAAAACGCCAAATATACATCAAACAAATACTATTAAAAAATCTTAAAACGTATGCCAAAAGAATAACAAATCAACAAGACATCAAACTCTAAAAATATAATCCCTAAATTAAAACCACAATATAAATAGTATTCAATACTTAGTACAAAATATCTAAACAATATAATAAACCAAGAAATAAGTACCTATCATAATATATACAAAAAACTACATTTAACAACAAACGACAAATATACATCAAATAAATACCTATCAAAAATCTTACATTAAAAATCAAAAGAACAACAAGTCATCAAACCGTAAAAATATAATCCCTAAATTAAAACCAGAACATAAATAGTATTCAATACTTACTACAAAACATCTAAACAATATAATAAATCAAATATTCAAATCTAACATAAAATATACAAAAAAAATTTATCTAACACCAAAACGTCAAATATACATCAAAAAACTACCTATCAATAATCATAAATTAAAAACCAAGAGCACAACATTTCATCATCAATTCCTACAAACAACCAAACAAGAGCTCGGGACCCCGGGTGCGCTGAGACCCGTAAACACGTAAGAACGTGTTCCCCTGGGGGATAACAAATATCTAAACAAAACGAATAAAAAAAAAAAAAAAAAAAAAATGCCGAAGAACAAAAATCAGACCTAAATCAAACAGTGACAGAAATTCCATAATTTCATAGCCAATGGTGATGAACAGCTGTTAAACACTACTTAAAAATAACCAAACAAAATATATTCTAGAATTCCTACGCATCAAAATAGATAACAAATATCAAACACTAAAAAAAAAGACAATTCAGCAAACAAATACCTAACACAAATCACAACAACAAAAAAAAAAAGCAACCAAAAAGAAGTAAAAATTACCAAACATAAAAACACACTTAAAATATATACAACTCCTAAACGCCAACAGTACAACATACAAATACATATCAAAAATCTTAAAACAAATACCAAATGAACAATAAATCAACAAGACATTAAACCGTAAAAAGATAATACCTAAATATAGACCATAACTTAGATACTATTTGACACGGCCTACAAAAAAGCATAGAGCAGTACCTAATAAATATCAAACATAAAAATACACATTAAATGTATACAACTCCAAAACGCCAAAAGAACAACAAACAAATACCAATCAAAAATCTTAAAACATAAACCAAAAGAATAACAAATCAACAAGACATCAAACTCTAAAAATATAATCCCTAAATTGAACCCAGAACATAAATACTATTCAACACTTACTACAAAACATCTAAACAATATAATAAACCAAATATTAAAATCTAACATAAAAATACACATAAAATGTATACAACACCAAAACGCCAACAGTACACCAAACAAATACATATTAAAAA